TGCCTGGCACATTATTAAGCATAAACATGTGAACTCTTATACCAAGTCTAAAATGCTCCAGCTTCTAGGATATAAAGTTTATTTTTGCCATCTGGTGTATATGTTCTTTTGCTCTTAAATCTCTCTCCTACCTTTGAAAGTAATATTCTCTATCTTTCAATACCCCTTTGATGTTATCTAATGACCTCTTAATTCTAATATTTCTTTAAAAATCAGTAAAACCTCTTTTTCATCAATTCTAATACAGGTTTTCTTACTTCTTGCCTCATCATGATTCACTCCATTTTACTTTTACAAATACTAATCCATATTTTTATTTCTATGAGTCACTCATCAACCTAATTATAAAGAAGATGGTTCTAACAGAGCTGTACAGAGGCCCTAGAGAGAGCATTGAGTTTCCTATCTGATGGTATTATAGTTTTGATGTAGTTTGTTCCTTCAAAGGTTCATGTGTTGCAAGTTTGGTCTGCAGTATGACTATGGTAAGAGATGTTAAGGCCTACTGGGAAGTCCTTAAGTCATTGAGGCCACTGCCCTTGGAAAGGATTAAAATAGTTCTTGAAAACTGGAGGCACCAAGATGACAACAAAGAAAGAACCTCTCTGAGTGTTGCCATCCAGATGCTGGAATATAACAATGTGAGGAAGACAAGAAGGAGAGAAGTGGATCCCCTGGACCAACAAAGGATCTGAGGTGTGAATTGAAGCCCACAGAGAGAATGAAGAGGGAAACTTCGATGAACAAGTTAAAGTAGCCAGTGCCTTCTCCCTGAGATGGGACTCACTGCTTAAGAGGAGCAGTGCAGACACAGTGACTTCTGGCAACCCCAGAGGCCTCCACGGAGAGATACAGTAGTGGAGGGAAGCAGTGGTACTAGTGGCAGTGGGTGTTGAGGGCTCAGTCATCCTGCGCTGGAGAACGATTGGCCAGGAGCGGTCTTGGAGAGAGGCCGGCAGAGCTCAGAGCTCAGAGGGGCTGCTAGCTCCATCTAGTGGCTCCCAGCTGGGCTCAGGCCCACAGAAGGTGTGCTGACAGCTGCAGGCTGAATGACTCTGGTCTCGGCCAGAAGGTGTAGGCTCGCTGAGCATATCCACTAGCCTGCCCGAAAAGCTGCTGGCTTGCTGGAATCAACATGGATCAAGACTTTGTCTCCACACGTCTATCAGTGACAGCAGAGACAAACATGGAAGTGAACTTTTTTT